ACTCATTCTGCGCGTTACATGTATTGATGGTTTTCCGTGTTGTCGGTTTTTGGTTCTTGAACGAACCGTATATATGTCTGACATACTGACAATATTAATTAAAGCAGGTATAAAAAGGATTATTAATTAAACAAATTTTACTTAATATTTAAAATTTAAAACCTATTGGCATTTTAATATTGTTATACTCAAAATGTAATTTTAATAATAATAATATTTATATTTTTATATAAAATGTACAGTGTGTATATTTACCATGGTACAAAGAATATGTATAGGTACATTCGTAAGGAATCAATGCTGCACGACAAATAAATATTCATAACTTTATCGTATGCACCTGCAATGCAGGTCCTGCATGTACCCAAAAAAATTTCAATTTACCATTTAAATTTACCAATGTGTCTTATAAGTTATAAGTTATAACTTTAACGTTAAGTTTAATTTACTATTAAAATTTTCATTATTGTATAGGTAAAGAGTTACTTTAAACAAACCTATTTATAAAAAAATTTACATAATTTTATAGTCGTTTCAAAAAAATGGCGTATTAATTATAAGCGTTATTTTGAAACTTTATAAACTTAAAACAAAAGTAATATAAGTAATATTTCATGTCAAATCGACCAATAGTTGGAATCGACCCCTTTCGATTTGGACGAATTTTACTTGGTTGGGCTATAAAAAAAAATATTAAAAAAAAATTATAAAATGAAAAATTTATCAAATTTTAAATTTTTCACCTTGTCAAAAAATCAGATGTGTTATTTAACAAAACAAAAACTATATCTGAAGTCAAATAGTTTAATTGCGACGTAATTTAAAACCTTAAAATATTCGTACAATGTAGTGCTAAGAAGCTAACTTTAAGAATAAACACTGAAGAATTTCAATACTCCATAAAAAAGTCGCACCCGTTACATTTTATGAAAATTTTAGAAAATAAAGTATACAATATTTGTAATTTTAAAATACGTGCTTGTTTGAGGTTAGGTACTATTCAAGTTTTACACAAAAAATTATTACTATATGCTTTCAACCAAAATTTTACAGAATCAACTTTGGAAGCCATTGCCGATTTTCTAATGTCGCGCTCGTTATGCGATTCATGACGTTATAAAATGTTTTCTATACAATTTTTAATTGACATTTTGTTTGAGTTGAATGACTAAATTTTTATACTATTTCTGTATATTAATGTACCTTGATATATCTGAACAAACTCTTGAGGAGGTGCATTCCAAAACTCGGCTTATCCATATTAGTTGTTTTTGAGCAAAATATCAAAAACCTTACACGTGAGTACTAACGCATATCAGGCCAACACAATAATTTCAACGAAATATATATGGGGTATTCCATACCAAATCGACCACTTTTGAACCCGACCCCTTGAGATTTTGCTGAAACTTTTTCATCCTTTTCTACCCTTTGAAAAACATTTTTGAAAATTTTTTCAAATTTTTTTGTCCAACCTCAAAAAAGTTATGAATTTAAAAAAAAAATGGCTTTTTTATTTTCAAATAGCCATAACTTTTTTAGAAATTGACTTTTGGGTACCTTTTTTTTTAATTTTTGTTTTTGAATGAACTTTTCAAAAAAATACACGAAAAAATACACGAAAAAAATTTAACATGATCAATTATATAAAATAATCGTTTTTTTTTTAGTAAAATCGTCATTTTTCGAAGTTCGCCATTTTTTTTTTTGTTTTTTTTTTCTCAAAAAAAACTTCAATTAATTTGACAACTATCCCCGCTAATCCCGGAGTGGGCCGATTTTTTTTAATTTTTTTTAATTTTTTTTTATTTATTTAAAAAAAAATTGTCGAATTTTCTTTGACAATTTTTTTTTAAATAAATAAAAAAAATACAAAAAAAAATCGGCCCACTCCGGGATTAGCGGGGATAGTTGTCAAATTAATTGAAGTTTTTTTTGAGAAAAAAAAACAAAAAAAAAATGGCGAACTTCGAAAAAATGACGATTTTACTAAAAAAAACGATTATTTTATATAATTGATCATGTTAAATTTTTTTCGTGTATTTTTTCATCAAAGTTCATTCAAAAACAAAAATTAAAAAAAAAGGTACCCAAAAGTCAATTTCTAAAAAAGTTATGGCTATTTGAAAATAAAAAAGCCATTTTTTTTTTAAATTCATAACTTTTTTGAGGTTGGACAAAAAAATTTGAAAAAATTTTCAAAAATGTTTTTCAAAGGGTAGAAAAGGATGGAAAAGTTTCAGCAAAATCTAAAGGGGTCGGGTTCAAAAGTGGTCGATTTGGTATGGAATACCCCATAGGCATAAGTGAAACATTTATATAAATACCTTGATTAAAAAGCTCCAATTTAAAATAATTTAAAATTACGTATATGCCGAGTTCTGCATGATATAACCAATAGATAAGGCAAGTGTTGGAATGATAGTCAATTTGTAAATGAATTTTAAATGGATTAAGGTGAGTTTTAGAATATTATGAATTTTTCAGGGTATAGGGGGATACATGTTACATGTACAGACACCACTAACTCATTTTAATTAAAAAGTGGTTAAGCCGAGTTTTGGAATGGACCTCACTTATCAACAATAGAAATACCCTTAAGCAATCATGTAATTTTGTAATTTGCAGCAGTAAAAATTACGTTAGTCTTTTTTTTAAATCCTTTTAGTGCTGATATTGCTTTATTTCTTCTTCTCACTCTGAAAGAAGTTGAGATTATATTAATCTTTAAATTCAAATGTAATGTTTATAAAATACTAACACTAAAAATTTCGACAAACTCGTAGATATCCGTATTTTCCAGTCGAAAATTCTTTCCTTCCTTAGATGATGATAAGGTTTTTATTCTTATCACATAACTCGAAATAGGAACCGCGGCAATGCCGTAGGGTGTCATTTTTGAGCAACTTTTTTTTTTAACTAAAAAACAGGCTAAAAACTTTCAGGAAGGTGAGAAAAGATGCCTCTAAAAATTTAAGCTCTTAATATTAACAGTGGTGCCTGTTCCTAACTTTCCATTTCCATTTAAATAACATGGACATTTTTTTTACTTTTTTTATTTTTTTAGCTTGACATTTGAGCATTGTTAAAACGAACTGAAAATTTATTTTGGTAGAAAATTAAACGCTCTACAAAAAATTTATTTTTTCATAGAGTGAGCCGTTCTGAAGATATTCAAAATTAAAGTTGCTAATGTATGAAATTATGTCTTTTATTTTATTAAACTAAATATCTGTGGCTAAGAAGTTAAATGCTTATTGCCAAATTTTGTCCAACCAACCAACCATTTTATTAACACGTTGATGGACACAGACAAATTTTTGGCGGGACCTGCTGCGTCACTTACACAGGCTTGTCATAAATCAGCTAGAAAATTGCGACTTCTATAGCCGTCGTGTCATATTGGGACCGATGGCATTTGCAGTCCTGTCCATGAACGTGTTAAACTAACACTAATGACTTTTTTTATGTCTTAAAAATTATTTTTAATCAGAAAACTGGTTTTTGTGCGCTAAAATTTTTAGAAAGCTAAAATAAAAAAAAATACGTCTCAGATATTATTTTACCATTTTACTGTTAACAATTAGAATACTAAAATTTTAAAACTTAATAGAAATTATAATGTCTAATCAGAATTAAATGATGTAACTATATTTGTTAAAGATTTTTTTATTACCAATTGGATATTTTCGTCGGTGCTCTTTTACCACTTGTAATAAATATTGAAATTGTTCCTCATCTTTAGTTAGGCATCCATTATATTCTTCTACTAATGCGACGCCACGTTCTGCAACGTCATTGACAACTTTCAGTTTTTCGAAAAATTCCAAATTCTCTTGATAGTTTTCATTATCTGACCACATCAGTACATCTTCATCCAGAAAGTCGTACGGCAAAACAAATTTATTAAAAAGTTTCAATGATTGTTTTGAAACAAAGTCACTCATATTTTTGTTTAAAAATATTTCTGTGCGTCGTTTTTCAATAATGATGTCATCTCCTGGCTCTTCATCGATTCAAATGTTCATTAGAGTGCAGCGTTAAAATTTATTTTTAATTTTGTTAATCTAATAGGTCTCCAAAGTAGGGATTTACCATTAAAAAACAGTATTTTTATTTTTTTTCAAACACAATAGGGCGTACAGGATAAAAAAATAATAAAATATTGATTTTTAGTAAATACAATTTTTGTGTGAGACGTCATTTTCCACCCCCACAATCCCAAAAAAGCGACAAATAATAAATTTAAAGTTATTCGGTATCGGTACTGATTGGGCTAAGTTTGTATTTTCCGCTGCGATCGCTAGACTCTTGTGTGGAGGGGGGCATAAATATCAGGTGATTTTAAAGTGCGACCGTCAAACGTATTTTTTTTATTTTTTAGTCTATTTAAATTTTGTTGTGTTTGTCGTTTGCCCGTTTATTATGTCTAAATCCGTAGTAACTCGCGGCGTTGTTAAATCGTGCCAGATTTTTGGAAAGCCAGAGGAACTGTACCGTTATATGTTCCAACAATAGTAGAGTGCTTGAAGTACTTTGTGTTTGTTCAATATAGTTTAGTGAAACTGAAAGTAAATAAAAATTGCGTTAACTAAAGCATTCACGACTGTAGCAGAGGTAAGAACAGATATTTGGAAAAGTGCCTCAATTCCAATTGTTTCGAGAGCAAGGATTATATTTTTGCTTAAACAATACCACAACCGAAGGTTAGGCTTACTTAATTTTTTTTTAAAAGGGATAGCCAAAAACAATCTTTCCAAAAAACACTGCGTTCAAGGAATACAGTAAATCTCTTTTTTATATTGCTGTCTGCAAATGCCCTGAAAATATAAATTGTCTCTGTGAAAAAATATTTAAGGTAAGTTCTTCTTTATTCTCTTGATTAATATTTGTTAAAATACGGGATATTTTTTCCAGGTACCCCTTGTAGAATGTGATTTTCTTAAAGATCAGCGATCATGTCGCAAAATGAAGATAGGAGGTACTGATAGAAAATTTTGTAATAAATTTGAAGCACGTAAGCTGCAAAAGGTTCGCAAATGCTCAGCATCTTCAACTGGAAGCAGCCAATACTTAAACAGAAAAAGAAACGGCTAAAATCCCTGAAGAAATGTCTGAATCTCAACAAGATGATTTTAAGTTTACTGAAAATGATAATCTTGGATGCTTATTTGATAAACCCGCTACGGTAAAAACTAGAAATATTCTGCAGCTTTACCCTGTGTACTAAATAGATATAAGATTTCTGACAGAGTTGGTGCTGCAATAGCTTCAGCGACGCTCCTTGATGTTGGTGTAATTAGTCATAGACCAACGAGAGGCCTATATTTTGACGGGCGTAAAGATCACACCATTTCACTTTCAGAAGATAGGAAACGTCGAACCTCCAGCGTTAAAGAACATATCGCCTTAATTGAAGAACCGGGATCCAAATATATAGGTCAAGTGACACCCGCATCGTCCAGTGCTTTTAATATTTTTAAAAGTATCGAGGATTTTTTTGAAACTTTTTCAAAACCATCGAGTAAAATAGAAGCTGCAGGTTGTGACGGATCCATTACTAATACAGGATATAAAAATGGTATAATTGTCCGTTTAAAGCCACATATTAATGCTTCTGTTCAGTGGTTCTTTTTTCAGCTGCATGCGAATGAATTGCCTCTGCGTCACCTAATTCAGAACATGAATAGTGACACTTCACGTCCGAAAGTTTTATCAGGAATAATAATAAGACTGCGAAAAACTTCCACTGGTTAATTTCACGAAAATAAGTGTAAAATTGCCAGATGTTTCCAGGGAAAGCTTAAGCACAGATCAGGCTAACCTATTTAATATTTGCAAATTAGTTTCTACAGGATTTTCTGACCAGGGTCTGATTAAAAGACAACCAGGAAAAGTACTTCATTCCAGATGGCTAACGACTGCTAATCGGATCTTAAGACTTTATGTGTCAACCGAAAACCCATAGCCTTGAGGTCCTAGTAAAGTTTGTTATGAAGGTTTATGTTCCAATGTGGTTTAGAATAAAAGCAAAACCAGCATGCGTTTATGGAGCGAAGCATTTGTTTGATACCATTCAACTTTCACGATATCTACCTCAGGATCTAAAAGATGTAATTGATTCTGTAATCCAGAGAAATGGCTACTTTGGACACCCAGAGAATATGCTACTAGCAATGCTAGCTGACACTAATAAAACTATGAGAGAATTGGCGTTCAGGCAAATTATGAAAATCCGCTCACATTCAGATCTTCAAACACAAGTTCGTACATTTATTCTGCCGAAGTTCAATTTTGAGGCCGCTGACTTTTATGATCTTCTACTTCGGCAAGAATGTGCCCTTACTAAACCACCGCTTTTGAGAAACGTATCCGAAAACGATTTAATAAAGATTGTTGAAAATCCATTTCAATCTCTTATTTTTAAGGAAATAGCAGAGTTTCCGTTTCATACTCAAGCAGTAGAAAGGACAGTCAAGCTTGTTACAGAAGCGTCAATTTTTTCCAGGAACGTAATACCAAAATTATACAAAAAAGGAGTTTTCATTACATAAGTCCCATGACCCAGTCTTGAAAAAAAAGTATATCATACCTTTTTTCATTTTTAATTAATTCATTTACTAAGCCATAACCAACAACGTCAAAAAATGCCATTTTGATGTCCTTTAAAAATAAAGAGACATTTTATCACCCCTTTAAAATAACCGTTTTAACAGGCCAATTTAAATGATTCCTTTAAAAAAATAAAGGAAAACTAGACCCCTAACTCTCTTAAAATGAATTATTTAAAAATAACTAATAAGTTATATTTGACAAATTGTCATAGCGAAAAAGCAGTCACTAATAATTAGTCAAATTCTACTGAATGAAATACTCAAATTAGTAAATTTAAATTAAAAAAAAATTGACTAATTCGGGGATTGAACTCAGGTTTGTCACTTGTTAAGCTTGTCAAATTAAATCAAAAATATTTATTCATATTAGTGTATAAAATATATAACATTGTAAAATAAATTCAAGTATATTAAAGTGTATAAATAAAATGAACAATACAAATTTGCCTGGCACGTAGTGTTCATTCATAAAGGAAGTTACCATATATACGTTTTAACGTAACATAGCAACCCCCTTGGCCGATGTTTTGGCCTACTTGAAACCTATCTCACAATTTAGGAATTGATTCGCAGCTCGCCATTCCCTTCGCTAGAGCGATACAGGGGCAATATTATTAGGATGTTTTGTGTGTGGATGTTGAGGACTGTCAGGTTATGTTTTTTATAGATTTTTACGAAAATTAAATCTTGTCAAGCTGTTGTCATAACCCATTCGGCTATCAGCCGCTCTTATAAAAATCAATTTTATTTGTCAATAAATACTGTTCATAATATTTTAAAGTTGAATATATTATTTATGTTGCTGTTTTGAGCTAAACTTTTTGCATCTTTATTTGTTTTGGTGGGTCATTTAACCATGGAGCTTAGGTATATGAATTTAATTCAAATATTACTTTGTTGTTGGCCGCAAACGATTAAATAAATTAGTTACTTTTAACTCTCAGAAATAGTCAAAGATGGTGATTAATCTTAAATTTGTCAAACTTTAACTATTTACGTGGTAAAAAATAACTATTTAAAAGTGAAAACGTCTATTTTATTAGTAAAAAATGCTGGTTCTAATTCAAATAGTAGAATTTTGACTATTTCATTTTTAGAGAGAAGGTTTGCTCTGTCTAGAGCAGCACAGAGATCTGGAGTGATTATGTCAATTTTAGAAGGCGGTCAAAAGTGAATTTCATCTTCAAAATTTAAAATTGTACGTGAAGACACACTAGACATAATTGATAAGAAAAGTGTTGACTGAGAGAGTGGAATGTCATTAGCATTACCGTCTGTCAATAGATTTGTATGTAATCATTTTTTTTACACTAATCCTTGTCCTTGGTTGAATAAATTAAATCTTTATAAATAATTAACAAGTATTTACCTATGTACACTAGTTTTTTTGTCTTTGGTCCACTAAATATTGCTTGGCGCTCTTAACAAACTCTATTTTATTTTGCTGTTTGATCTCATTTGGTAATTTGTTGTATATTTTGATGCCTTCTGTAAGTATTCGTTTTTCGCCTATCTTGGTTTTATGTGTGACAAAATTTAGTTCTTGATTTCCTCTGGTGCTGTATTGATGTACATCGGCTCTTGTTGTTATTTCTATATCTTCGTCTTGGATTTGTTTGTTTAACATTTTCCTTACCAATTTTATGGTCTCCAACTTTCTAAGTTCTTCTATTTTTAAGGTTTTTGTTTTACGGTATACTTCAGTTGTTGCAGTATGCCTTGGTGTAAGCTTTTAATAGTTTATTTTGGCTTCTTTGCAATTTGTCTAATTCTTTTTTGTTTCCTGTTGCCCAGAATGATATTAGGTAAGACAGCTTACTTTTAATATAGGCCTCATATATCAGTTTCCTTTCCATTTCCTGCAGTACATCAGCTACCTTATGCGCTAGTCCATTATAATATGCCATTTTTTTGTTTTGAGCTCTTATGTGTGATGTTCACTTTAAATTTTTGTCAAGAATAAGACCTAAGTATTTCATTTTCCTTAGTTTTAATTGCATTTATAAAATCGATTATTATCAAAATAATCATTAAGGAAAGAGATAAATTGATAATTACCACTGTGATCCACTTCCATCATGTCATCATTGGTAGCTGGAGATATTTCTAGAATATTATTGTCAATAAATCCGTAACGAGTTTCGGGTTTTTGGACAGAAAAAATAATTTCTTATCATCGTCGAGTAATTCTTCCACATTTTTTTTTCGAAATATCAAATAATTTATTTAGATTTTGTAAGGAAAGTTCCTCTTTCTTCTTTTGTGCAACAGACTATTTTTGTTTACAAGATTTTTGTCAGTTTTATGGTTGCGTATTGTAATTCACAAGTCGGTATTTCAGCAGCACACCATATTTTATTCACTTTAGTAATTGTACTTTTAGAACTTTCTTTAATTGTTTTTTTTTCTAAGAAAAAAGTGTTCATAAAAAAAACAGACATAACCTCTTTTAGAATTGGTAGCTTTCTGCCAACAAAATTTTCATTGCTGTCATCAATGAAATAAATTTAATTCATTATCAATTATATTTAATATTCCAAAATTATTAATTTTTAATCATTACTAATTATTAAATCACTTCAACAATTCAATCAAGTTAAACAGAGCTTTCGTCAGAAGAAAGTAATGATACAACAATCCTTAACCTATATTTTCACGAGAAAATTAATCCGAAGGCCGTGACTAACGTTAGTTACATATAACTTTATAACTTTATTGCAAACGGGCCGGATCCGCCGGAAACTTTTCGAGTTACGATCTTTTTAATTTTTTTTTCGAAATTTTTTAGGGCGAGAAAATTTTTCGAAATAAACGAATCTACGGGTAAAAGACCAAAGTTTGAGATACTAAAAGATGAACTTTATCGAATAAAAACTAATCGGCTTGTTTAGTTTTTGTTGGGTATTTAAAAAAGTTAACCAATTAAAATTCCCAAAATCAAATCGAGTACAGGGGGATCCAACAAAATATTAAATTAAAACAATAAAGCTTTAAATGAATAGTTGGTCGGGTGTTTTAGATGTTTCAGATGAAGTAAAACCTAAATCCTCAAAAACACTTTCAAATATTCCACTTTTTTCAACATTCATATTATGTTGAGATGCTTCTTCTTCACTTTTTTATGCTTTGGCAATTCATTATAAACTTTTCTTAAATACGAAATACACAGTTTACTTTCTGGTATAATATAAGGTACAATAACCATACACTGTTGAAATAATTCAAAAGTGACTGGTCTTAAAGATCTACTGTCATGAATTTTATACGGATCAGCACAAACTTTTGGGTTCCCAGTGTAATTTTTACGATACTGTTTTTTATGTTCACAGCAAATGAAACTAACCACTGCACCACTTCTAGAATTTAGAGCAATACGATCCTCATTAGAAAAAACTTTGCAATCAATAAATTTTTTCTGAGAGATTTTTTAATTTCTGAATAATCCATTCTAACACTTTTTATTTTCCATGACTAATTACGTATTGTGACAAAAAATTCGAAAATCGAAGATATAGAATATTAAACATAAATACACTCACCAATTATTGGTATGTTTACTTGCAAATCACGAATTAACTAATCTCCAGAAACGTCAATATTATGAAAAATAGAGACTTCTATGGTTATTATCTCGATAAAAAAGTTTTAGATGGCAGAGTATGACACTTCCTGACTGGTTTGATTTTCAAACTCATACCAAAAAATGTAAATAATAGTCTTTTTTCTCATTATTATGTCGATAAGTGAAATTTTTACTGCTGAAAATTACCAAATTACATGACTGCTTAACTTTACTTAACAGAAAAATAAAATATTTTTTTTTAATAAAATTCATATTTTTGAAAAAACAAAAACGCAGTTCTAAAAATTTTAGGACCATTTTTGACGATTTTTAAAAATTAAAAATATTAGAAATTCCAAAATATTTTTTTAATAGCCCCAAGTGTCCCCTTTAAAACAAATAAAAGTTTGTTTTTGTATAGATATAACAGTTTTAGAGATATTTATAATATAGTTGAAAAATTTAAAAAAATACTAATTTATACGCAAGTTTAACTGGAATGTCTAATATTTTTAAATTTATAGCCAAATATGGATTTTTTAATAGAAAATCTGATCGAATTTCCCGGGAAGTTGATTTCGACAATTTGAGGTTCACCTCTCGCAGACCTATTTTGTGGGCATTTAAGCCTGTCCTTTAAAGCTTGGTGTGTGCCGTATATCTGCATCGCCACGCTGCTCAATATACAACAGCATTTTGAGCATTAATCTGTCTTACAGAAATTGGATTTCTACTCAACTAGTCGACGTGTGGTAAAGAACTTTCCTTGCGATAAGTGATGGTGAAGTTAAGTCCTACATGTACGCCCACCAGCGAGCTATCGAGTAAAACAGTTTTTAGTCATAACCAGGCTTGCAACAAAAATCTCAGATTTTTTCTGTAAACTTGGTACTAGTTGACTTTATTGCCCTATTAGCCTGAGGAATCGCTTTTGTTAACAAACCTTGACTACCAGTTACAATTTCGTTAAAGCTAAACCGTTTTGCCGCAATCCATTTCCTTGCGCCCGTTTGTTCCGGTCGAAATAAGGGCAGATCAATTTGTTTGGGCACCGTTTGTGTCGAACTAATTAAAAAAATAGATCCTACACCGTATTACACTTCTGATGTTAGAAACAGGGTAAAGAAATATTTTTTAAAACACAACTTTAAATAAAACAACATTTATTTGGCACGACTGTTTACTGCAAGCGCACGTAAGTTAATGACCAATATTATTATTATGTGACGATTTAATAAATATTTTTTACATTTCTAACAATATGATAAGGTCCCCGAACCCTGCAGTTTCGACCGATACGCGGCACAATGGGGCCGCTAGACCGGCCTCTCTAGAGACAGGTTAACCACAAACTATCACATAAACTATTGAAACAGACAGCAAAAAACACTACCACAGGGTAAGAATTCAATTTTGTAATTTTGTAATTATAGAGCATTGTGCTATAATAGCTTTTAATAAAATAGTTAATAAAACCGAGGCAATAGACAATTAAAAGTTACCAATTAATTCTTAAAATTTTAATGAAATATAGTTTTAAAAATAATTTCCTTAACAAATACTTACAAAAAGATAGATCATAATCAGCTGTGACAGTTTGCAAGAAATTACTATCAGAACTCCAGTCCATCTGCATCAACGGTTGGGATCCCCTAATCTTGTTCGATTTTTTATATGAAAAACCATCTCTACTAACTCTAAATAGGTATATGCTTCCATTT